AAGAAGAGAGCAGAGTGGATTAGGGAACAAACGGGGGTTAAGGATATCATAGCTGAAATCAAGAAGAAGAAATGGACATGGGCAGGGCATGTAGCGCGTAGACAGGATAACCGCTGGTCATTAAGGGTAACTGACTGGATTCCCAGAGGAGGGAAGCGGGTTAGGGGGAGACAGAAGGTTAGGTGGGCAGATGAGGTTAAGAAGTTTGCGGGTATAAATTGGCAGCAGCAAGCACAGGACCGGGTTAACCGGCGGAACATGGGAGAGGCCTTTGTCCTGCAGTGGACGTAGTCAGGCTGATTATTATTATTATTATTATCATTATTATTATTATTATTATTATTATTATTATTATTATTATTATTATTATTATTATTATTATTATTATTATTATTATTATTATTATCTGCAGAAAGAACTCCAGCAAATATTATTAATGATATTGCCGAGATATTAGTTAATGACTGCATTCGTGCTGGGCAGCGCGTTTTAAATGCGAAGCATTTCTTAGCGAACTTCGGCCACATTGAGCGTATCTATCTATCTATCTATCTATCTATCTATCTATCTATCTATCTATCTATCTATCTATCTATCTATCTATCTATCTATCTATCTATCTATCTATCTATCTATCTATCTATCTATCTATCTATCTATCTATCTAGCCGCCTACGACATTTAGCTCTCCAGGCCGTTTCAATAATGGTATCGTTACCAAACTTGGTATGGCATAACGTGACTGTATGAAGAACATATTTGACTACTCATTACATGAAAATCATGACATGGACGCCATGAATGTCATGATTTACATTTCATGGCTTTGGAGCTTTTACGGTGGTTTCGTTCACATGGCATATTACAAAACTGTATGGTATGGCATGATTGCATGGCAAATACAAGCGACAGACCCTAACATGAAAATCATCACATGCATGTCATGTACCAACAAGACTACGTGCCACGCTCATGATGCTCTCGCGGCCGTTTCGCTAGCGTCACTTATACCGAATTTGGTATTACAGTACGTGAATGGATGGCGAAGGCGTGTGACTGGTGCAAACATGATAAACATGAGATGCGTGTCATGTAACAACATGACTACATGCTACGCTCATGATGCGCTCGCGGCTGTTTCGCTAGCTTCACCTATACCAAATTTGGTATTACGTGACGTCAATGGATGACGAAGGTATGTGATTGGTGCAAACATGATGATCGGGAGATGTGTGTTATGTGAGAACATGACTGCATGCCACAGTCAAGGCGCCAATACTGTTCGACGTGACGCGGCGCGCGTGCTCGCCGACGCCAGGCGCCGGTCCTGCCATATACTCGCAGGCGCGCGCCGCGCTGCGTTGCTTTGACGCGTGCTCGTTTCAGCGAGTCTGGTGTCCCTCCGTCACGAAAAGAGGGAGACAGACTGGGTAACGCATCGGCGCGAAACGCAGCATGTCGCATTTCGCACCCGGTTGCCGTCGGGCCGCGCCGATGGACGCTGTTCGCGCCAGTCGCGCCTGGCGTCAGACTATAGAGTGCTCGCGTTTTGCCAACGTAGCGTCTTTGTGACCAGCGTGCGTGTGCGTCGACGCTACATTGGAATATATTGGGCCCTTCGTGATGCGCTAGCGGCCGTTTCGCTAGCTCCACATTAACCAAATTTGGTGTTAAGTGACGTCAATGGATGACTAAAGTATATGACTGGTGTAAAGATGATAATCCTGACACCCGTGTTATGTAATAACTAACAACATACCTCTCTCATAGCGTGCTCGTGGTGGTTTCGCTAGCTCCACATATACTAAATTTGGTATCACGGGACGTGAATAGATGACGAAGGTAAACGACACATCCAAACATGATAATCATGACACGGAAGTCGTGTACGGCATCGTTTGCCTCCCCTCGTATAACGTTGTGCTGACTTTAAAATGACATATCAACATTTCTCATTCGTGCTTCGCATATCATCGATTCCCGCTGTACGTGAGATTTGCCAATTATTTTCACTTTCCTTCGAAATGTTTAAAATTGTCGAATGTTCACACACGTCCAGTCGAGTAGTTGTGTCCTAAAATATAAAAAGAAAAAATTAGGGGGTGCGGCGCTACTCGACCGATCCCCCATCTTCTCGATCGTCGTCGGTGCTGTCTAAACCACACCCTTTACTCTCACGGCCATGCACGTGCACACACACGCCTCATCCATCCATTCATCCGTGCATTCATTCATTCATACGTCGGGTTATACGTGCGGTGTTCCGGGGGAGGGGGGGAGGGGGGCATGGCGGCAGTTCTATCTGCGAGGCCGGCCCGGCCACCGATGCGTGTCGCCTCGTGTCGAGATGTGCCGGTGGGGGCGTGCCAGCAGTGTAGGCTTATCTTTTCTATCTTGTCAGATAGCCAACTGAGTCGATTTCCTGTCGTATTCCTGCGTCGTCACCGACCCGTTAAAAACGACTGCCTGCGTAATAAGCATGGCTCCTCATCAGCAAAATGGCGTGAGTGGACCGAAATAGGAAGCAGTGGTCTTGGAAGGGGTTTTTATTTTGTTGCGCGAATATGCATTAAATTTCACAACGAAGCGGTCTTAGCCAACCCTATGTAGTGGTCATCGTCGTTACAGTAGCAGTAGAGGTAGTAGTAGTTGTAGTTGTGATAGTAGCAGTAGTAGTAGCATCAGCAGAAATAATGACAGAAGCAGTATAGTTGTACCAGGAGCAGCACGATTAGTAGTAGTAGCAGTGGTGGTAGCAGTAGTAGTTGTAGTAGAGGGTAGTAGTAGCAGAAGTAGCAACATAAGTAGTAGCAGCTGCTGTAGTTGTAGTAGCAGTAATATTAGTAGAAGTAGTACTGGTAGTGGTAGTAGCAATATGTAGTACTAGTAGTGGTGGTAATAGTAGTAGTTAATTGCAATAGTTATAGCAGCAGCAGTATTAGTAGTACTTGTATTAGCTCATATTACGTGACCAGAAGAGGGGAAGAGGAAGATGAATAAGAAGGGAGAGGGAATAAAAATAAACGAAATGAAATGATGTCGTTAAGGGGTGGTCATTATGGTAACGGTGACGGTATTCTTGCGTTGCCGCGCAGCCGTGGTCGTAAAAAAAACGCATTGGTCGAGTAGGAACGTAGGATGAGTCACGGCGGCATTGGAACGCTACCGTAGCTTTGTAGCGCGACCGTAAATTGGCATATTGTCGCGCTTCAGAGCCACATGACTTGAAGAACAAAGCAGCAGCCCAAATCGCTGAGACATTATAGAGTTTTAGAATACCGTTTGCGGGCGTTGCGGCCGTAGCGGGCGCCATAGGAGTTATAGAATAGCGTTTACCCTGCTGCGAACCGCAACGCACGATCGCAGCGACACCGTAGCCTCGAAACCAGCGCTTTCGGGCACATGCGGGCCGCCATCACCGCACGCAATTTCGGATTTTCTGAGTGCGGTCCGCGAACGCGAACGCCGACTCGTGTTACGACGCATGCGCAGTGGCAGCGACCGTACCGCAAGGGCTTGCGGTGCGCTATTCTATAACTCCCTATTGCTGAAACTTGGAAGCGAGATGTACTGCCCGACGAAAGGGGCGACACATTTGCTGTCTGACGGCGCGCGCGCGCGCGAGGGAACTGGTTAGAATTTGTACATTCAAGAAATCTGATCGAACGTAGCGTAGTGTTCGGAACGAAACATCCCGACTTCTTGGAAACCTCTTGCGCGGCAGTTTTGCTAGAACTGAAGCGGCCACTTGCGTGTTAATTTGCAGCAGAGAACGTCTACCAGCATCAACGAGACACTAGAACGTCAACCAATTTACGAACGTAATTCCTGATATTGCGGCGACTGTGGCAATCTGCCTCTTTGTCTGCTTTCTCTCCTTCAATTTCCTTTCTTTGCTCCGAGTCATAGGCGTGAACAGGTTTCCCCATAAGGGTTGGGGGGGGGGGGGGGGGGGGGGGTTGAAGTATCATTGCAGTTCCTCTCTTGCGCAGACCAGTGCTCTCAGCCTCACACGTGAACGTTTGCAAGCCAACACCGAGACGGTAGCGAATAAGGTACAACGATAAACGAACCCGCCTGCCGAGGAAGGACAGGAACAAATTGCATGCAAACGCGATACACGGGAGCCATGCATCAGCACGAAACAAACATATTCCCGCGTTCCTCCACCGGTAGTAGGGTCGCGCCACTCGTCTGTCACACGGTACTCAGGACTGCTCTATTTCTGTTCGACAAAGAAAGAAACGAACGAGCAAAAAAAACAAACTGCAACGGCAATATGTTCGTTTTTCACCTTCTCCCGAAAGGGGCACCGCAAAGAGCTTCCCACGTCGGTCCCATACCGAGAAGGAACACTGTGTTTCTTCATTTCTTCCTTCTCTTCTCTTCTTTCTTTCTTTCTTTCTTTCTTTCTTTCTTTCTTTCTTTCTTTCTTTCTTTCTTTCTTTCTTTCTTTCTTTCCTGCTTTCTGTATTTCTCTCTTTCTTTCCGTCCTAAACCCCTGTTTGGGACTCAAAGCGGCAAAAAAAAAAAGTTGAAATGCGAGTTGGGGTATGTATACTAAAGAACAACTAGTGAAACCTGCCTCTTTCCTAACCAGGGACGTCAGAGAACTATAATGTCAGAAAAATTCAAGAAAGAAAAAGATTAACAAACCAACGCGTGCGGTAAACCAGCGGTATACACCGTACGCGACCTCTCCAGTCCTCCTTTCCCACCGCCGTTTCTGTTGTGGTCCGTCAAAGCACGTGGAAGAAGGCACACCGCAAAAAAAGCCGCACAGATGGCGCCACCTCCCTCACTCTCTACTGCTCGTCGTCGTATTTATCTTTTTTTGCGTGCCTGCCGCCGGCTGCCCCTCCCTCCGCTCTCCACTCCAGCGCTTCTTCTCTTGATGTTTTTGATCGTTCAATCTCGACCGTCGGCTCCTCCAAACCAGTCGCGAATTCGTCCGCGCGCGGCACGCTGCAAACCGGCGACGTCGCAGTGTGTGCCCGTCTCGCCGTTCAACCGCGCGCGTGCGCGCGACACACAAAAACACTTCGGAAGACGTCCAACTTCTAAACGTCCCGTGGCTTTTCTTTCCTGTGCCGGCGAAGCGCCACCAAGTTCACGGCTTCGTAACACCCGCCCTCGTGTTGCCTCGCTTTCTTTTCTTCAACTCGCGCACGAGGGTTCCCCCACAAAGTTGTGCGTGTGTGTGTGCTTTCGTTATTCTTTCTTCGCGAGTCGAGTTTTGCTGGAGCTGTGCCGAGCTTCGCGTGAGCTTGTTTTTCGCAACGCCACCCAGTAGTAGCCGGTCACTTTTACTCGAATGCTGAAAGAAAAAAGCGCCGTGATGGGCCTTCTTGCGGAGCAGACGAGCGCGGACCAGTTGTGTTTTGGACGACAACACGTTTTCGCCGTTGCCTGAAGAAGTGGAATACCTTGTGAGTCCCACGCAAGTTTGTGCGAGATTCGCTTCAAGCGTTCGTGTGCCTGACAGGAGCAAGTTTGAACGGTTTTGTTTTCGATTGGTGCCGGTGCTTCGATTAGAGTGCTCGCCTGGCGAACTGATCCCGGATTTCGGACGGCCCTCTGCGACCGAACCGCTGAGGCATCATGGATTACTGGAAGCAGGTGATGCATTTTCACGTGTTCCCTGTATATTTCTGCACACTTTTGTTTTGTTTTGTTCTTGCTGGTCGTGGCACGTCTGTCCCATAAAGTTTCGTGGCCGACCGTTCGTACGAAAGCCTGCCGAATTACAACAGCACTCTTCAAGGCGTGGATTGCTGAAGAAGTGCTAGAATACATCGACTCGTTCGCGTTAAGAACAAACGGTGTGAGGGCTTGTAGTAATACATGAAGTACTGTGCGAAGACAGAGTATTACATGGATGCAGCAAGGAACTGCTACTCCACGAAGGCGGCTTTGATGAGAAGCAAGTTGCGCCTATCTGAAAAAGACGCAGCAGGAAACGCCTCTGTGCGTGAATAATGTAATAATAACCTGCATGTGACGTCGTGATGACATCAGTGTGACATAGGAAATGTCGCGCCCCCTCACGTGCTGGTGTTCCAGCATGGCGCTTTCAGTGACGTCAGTAGAAGTACTCTGTATAATACTTCATCATACCGTTCTTCTCTTTTTTTTTTTTCTTCGGAAGTTGAAAAGAATAGTTACTGATTTAAAATACTTCTACTACGACAGATCAGTGTTGGAAAGCAATGTTCGACGATTTCGAGTACGATGTACTCTTCTATGGGAAAGCAATAAACAGAAATGCGTCTATAACAAATGATCGACGATTAAGAGAATGATCAGAGGGGTTAGAAAAGTGGGTAACGATTTAGAGTACACGGTACTCAACTATGGGAGAGCTTAAAGCAGTCCCGTATACTCTGTCTGTGTTTGTAGGGAGTGGCTGCAATTCGAGTCGCGTTGAAAAACTAAGCAAGCAACTGGTAACGCAGAGCAGCAACATAAGCGCTGGTTTTGGTCCGTTATGATGATCAGCCTAATGTAGTGCGCTTGTGTACAAATGTTTTTATTTTTCTCAGAAGCCAATGAGTATTGCTGTCCCGCTTGAACTTTATTGCGAAATCCCTATTAATGCTAAGATCATCGCCTCCCCTCCCCCCCCTTTTGTTTTCACAATTGGTCATCCACTGCGTTTTTCATGCATTGGCATATATACGCTTCTGTCAGTTCTAAGCATTACAGAACCTGCTGTGCACACAAAGCGCCTACTCCTGAAGCATCTTATCTCTTTTCTTGCGTAGGCTTTTAATTAAATGACTGCTTAAAGTTTTTCTTTGTTTTTTTTTCAAAACTCGAGTCAGTCACGTCCCGCTTTAAAGTTCAATCGCGATAAGGTACAGTGATCACAAGTGGCTATTAGTTTCCGTAATAAATGCGTTAGCCGACGTTGCAAAAAGCCCACTCAAGCGCAGCGCTATACCAGGTGACGTAAGAATAACCACGTGATTGAAGCAACCACTGTTTTCTGAAGGCGTTGCTTAACACACATCACTTTATTACGCTTCCTCATCCACCAATCAAGAAGCGAGCACATGCTGTTCACCGCCATTGTCGATTCGCCGGGAGCACTTACTAAACATGAAAACTGAACTTAGTCAGGAACATATATATGCGGCGTTCCTTTCAGATCCCCGTGTGACAGCTATAGCTTTGAGCTGGATCACTCGAAGCAGGGGGTCATCACTCATGCGAGAAATACATAACATATTCGGCTAATTAATACAAATACTAATTAACAATTTAATTATATGTTACAGACCATATTGCAGGTGAGGCCGGAATTGCGGCTGGTAAGTTCGCAAGGCAGATTCACTTCGAACTGGTTGACACCTGTTTCAAGACATTTATTCCTAAAGCGTGCGTTGAAATACCGTTGGCGTGGTTGGTGCTGTATTATGCTGCGATGCACAAAACGGTGGCTTGACAAAAGAAGTAGCTAGAACAACGGTGCACTTATTATTTTTACCGCGGTGGATAGCACATATCTAGAAATCCGCCCCATTCACTTATTTCATTAGGAGAGAATACGCCTTTCAAGTTCACCATCTGCAGTTAGCTTCAATACGTATCGTTAAGTAAACAAGCAGAATGTTATCCAATTAGTCGATTATGTAGATTTGATGTCTGCAAGTAACATCGGCTGCTTCGAGTTATCGGAGTCGTGGACCTGTAACAGGTTATTGATTTTAAGAAATTTATGCAGTGTATTCAGCTAAAAAAATAAAAACAAACGAACCTGTCTACTTAGAGGCATAGCCTTGCCTTGGTGGTCTAGTGGCTAAGGTACTCGGCTGCTTACCCGCAGGTCGCGGGACCGAATCCCGGCTGTGGCGGCTGCATTTCCGATGGAGGCATAAATGCTGTAGGCCCGTGTGCTCAGATTAGGACGCACGTTAAAGAACCCCAGGTGGTCGAAACTTCCGGAGCCCTCCACTATACGGCGTCTCTCATAATCATATGGTGGTTTAGGACGTTAAACCCCACAAATCGATCAATTACTATAGGCATATGCATCGGTATAACCGTCAAACTTGAAAGATTTGCTTAGGGGTGGGAACACCATTTTTTTTTTTATATCCTATAGGTGTCGTCACAATAAGCTGTGGGAGGACGCGCAACGCACTTGACCTAGATTTTTCTTGAGCACCGTAACAGCCGCTTGCCCTTATCGGTGAATCGTTTTGTGGCAGCATTCCTCTATCGCGACTGTTGCGTTGTTTTACGGTATAACCGTCCGGCTGGCAACCCTCGAAGACATACGTTGTACGTGGACTTGCCTCCTTTGATTGATTGATATGCGTGGTTTAACGTCCCGAAACCACCATATGATTATGAGAGACGCCGTAGTGGAGGGCTCCGGAAATTTCGACCACCTGGGGTTCTTTAACGTGCACCCAAATCTGGGCACACGGGCCTAAAACATTTCCGCCTCCATCGGAAATGCAGCCCGCCGCAGCCGGGATTCGAACGCGCGACCTGCGGGTGAACTTGCTTCCTTTTGCGATGTCTTTATTACGCTTCCTCATCCACCAATCAAGAAGCGAGCACATGCTGTGTTCACCGCCATTGTCGATTCGCCGGGAGCACTTACTAAACATGAAAACTGAACTGACCAGGGTCCCCACGCAGCGTGTTGGGAGTATCCAGGCAGAGTAAGCTTCACCACTGGGGCGACGCGTCACAGCCCCTCGAAGCCCGCCTGTACCCTGTTTAGCTACCGGTGGGTGGCCGGCCGGCACTGGGGATCGAACCCCGCACCTCCCGTAGCTGAAGTGGACGCGTACGTGCAATGCCACAGCTGCGGTATGAAAACTGAACTTAGTCAGGAACACATATATGCGGTGTTCCTTTCAGATCCCCGTGTGACAGCTATAGCCTTGAGCTGTATCACTCGAAGCTGGGGTCATCACTCATGCGAGAAATACATAACATATTCGGCGAATTAATACAAATACTAATTAACAATTTAATTATATGTTACAGACCATATTTGCAGGTGAAGCCGGAATTGCGGCTGGTAAGTTCGCAAGGCAGATCCGCTTCGAACAGAAGTTCAGGTTGACACCTGTTTTGAGACATTTATTCCTAAAGTGTGCGTTGAAATACCGTTGGCGTGGTTGGTACTGTATTATGCTGCGATGCACAAAACGGTGGTAACTAGAACAACGGTTCACTTATTATTATTTTTTTTTTACCGCGGTCGATAGCACATATATAGAAATCCGCCCCATTCACGTATTTCATTAGGAGAGAATGCGCCTTTTCAAGTTCACCATCTGCAGTTAGCTTCAATACGTATCGTTAAGTAAACAAGCAGAATGTTATCCAATTAGTCGATTATGTAGATTTGATATTTCTGCAAGTAATATCGGCTGCTTCGAGTTATCGGAGTCGTGGACCTGTAACAGGCTATTGATTTTAAGAATATTGTGCAGTGTATTCAGCTAAAAAATTAAAAAAACGAACATGTCTATACTTAGAGGCATATGCATCGGTATAACCGTCAAACTTGAAAGATTTGCTTAGGAGTGGGAACACCATTTTTTTTTATATCCTATAGGTGTCGTCACAATAAGCTGTGGGAGGACGCGCAACACACTTGACCTACATTTTTCTTGAGCACCGTAAAAGCCGCTTGCCCTTATCGGTGAATCGTTTTGTGGCAGCATTCCTCTATCGCGCCTGTTGCGTTGTTTTACGGTATAACCGTCCGGTTTGCAACCCTCGAAGAGATACGTTGTACGTGAACTTGCCTCCTTTGATTGATATGTGGGGTTTAACGTCCGGAAACCACCATGTGATTATGAGAGACGCCGTAGTGGAGGGCTCCGGAAATTTCGATCACCTATAGGGTTCTTTAACGTGCACCCGAATCTGAGCACACGGGCCTACAACATTTCCGCCTCCATCGGAAATGCAGCCGCCGCAGCCGGCATTCGAACCCGCGACATGCGGGTGAACTTACTTCCTTTTGCGATGTCTTTAATACGTGCGTGAAGTCACCGAACTGTCTTATTATATATCCTGGAATAAGTTGAGGCGCGCATACACACAAGCCAGACGCGAGGCAACACGAAAGGTGGACTCCATGGTTTCACTTCTCATGAATGTATCCGTGTGGGCAGTGTTCTCCTTATGCGGAGGCTCGGGTGCACGTGGGGTGAAACTTCGCTCCCAATAACGCAGTGTATACACATATATGATGATGAAGATATGACAGCTTTTGCGGTCTGTGCATCTCTTAAACACGCAATGAAACTGTATGATACTGCTGATATTAGCAGTATTCCAACGCCTTCGATGAAGGATTCCGATTACATAGGAAGTAGAATTTCATGTGGTCCTACTTCGTGAAAAGATACCTGTCAAAGGGAGTGAAACAGCGGGGGAGATGAAGTTCGTGAAGTTGAGTTATCTGTTGCATCGAGATCACAGCAGCCCACTTTTTCCAAAGAAGGGCCTGGACAGCTGTTCGGCGTGCCTGTGAGATATATACTCTTCCAGCGGGGCGAAGAGGGGAAGCAGCTGTTTTCTGGATTGTTGCTGCGACACCATCTCAGTTCTTTTTCTTTCTTTCTTTCTTTCTTTCTTTCTTT